ATTGTTTTCCTTGTTACAGGCAGTTTCATTATACATCCAGTGTTTGCTCTGGATTATGAGGCACTGTAGCAGATTACGGAGACTGCATTCTAATGTTTCATCTGGAAATCGAATAAATACATATTTTTCAATTGCAGCAATGTGAAATGAGCTTTCAGGATGTTAGATCTGGAAAACAGCTAATTAGATGCCATTTCAGGCTCTCGTGCAGGAATGACTGTTGAATACACTGAAGTAGAATCTGAACCCTGCAAGTTGTCCCAGTGTTTGGTCCTGCAAAGTAGTCTGTAGCACCAAACTGATGCTGGGGCATGAGGTGTTCCTTCTGATGGTGGGACTCAAGCAGTTGATATGCTCCAAGGAGTTCGTTCCACCACAACTCTGATTTGCCTAAATTGACACATGGCTGGAGTCAGTCAACATTAAACAAGTGATTTGAAAAACTCATTAGATACTAGACTTTTCTTACAGCCAAGCTGTGACTGTTGGCGTGGGATTGTTCTGTTCCCCTCCCTTGTTGGCGGTGATCAGAACCCAGCAGGGACACATACTGACTGCCTTGACTTGTCATGGCATGTTCAGAAGAAGAGTGGGAGTCACCATCTAGGAGAGGGTATTTGGACTACGTATGAAGCAATGTTTCAGGGAAAGCCTTGAAATAGCTGAGTGTAGTCAGAAAGGTTAGGGGGTTTATTTTTTATGGTGCTGATGAAACCAAATCCCCTCAGAAAGCGGAAAGTGCAGGTCAGTACTTATCAACTCTTTTTGATTTCTGAATCCCTCAAAATCACAACTAGCTTGTGAATTGAAGTCTACTGCCAACACTCTCGCTCCTCCTAGGTTTCTCATGTGTGCCTGTGGAAGCAGGCCAGGGATCCTCAAATATCTGTGTGGAAGAAATCTGCACGTAGTCAAGAAAGCATAGATATCCACAAAACTCTGTGTGTGTGACTGAGGATGGGGAGGGAATCCAGATCTACCTTTATTGCTATGTAAAGGTAGCTTAGAAAAAGGTGGCTTGTTATCAGACAGAATGTTTGGCCTCCACTGGTAAGAATGAAAAAAGCAAGTCCAAGACTCTGCAAGAGCATATGTATGCTCTGGCCTGCTGAGAGTGAAAATTTCCCAAGTTTTCAGATCACTTCCAAGCTAGTGATCTCTTGTGAAGGAAATCTAGGAGTAGGAGACAATGAACAAAAGAGGGAAATTTCTATGGACTTGCTTTCAGTTCTCTGCATGAATTTTATCATTTGAACATTTGAACTTAAGAGCCTGCATGTTTGAGATATATTAACCACTACTGATTGGTAAAAGCTAGGGTGGCATAAGTGCGTATATAGTGGCAAGGGTGCAAAAAGGCTTCCAGTCGCTCATATTGGTGCAGTGAGGTCATCTCTAGTCTGTGCAGATCCCAAGCTCAGGCTGGGTTTTCTCTGTAGTTAAGTGGGTCAATTCTTCATTCAGGCTCTTGACTCTTAACTAACCAGTAAAACAAAAACAGTGCAGTTAGTGGAATGTGATATATTTTAAATCGTTAGGCTACTTTTAGTAAAGCAACTCAGGATAAAAGCTAAAATCTTTTTCTCTTAGCATGGACAAAGCCAAAGAAGGCACACTGCTTCGTTCTCTCTCCAGACTGACAATCCAAAAGTATCTGTGTTGTGACAGACATCAATAGAAAATGTTCTGGGGATAAGTCCAAGAAAATCTATTCCCAAAATTTAGAAAATACCCCATCCAACTCTTTTCAGTTTAACTTAACACTCTTTAAGCAAAAATGTCTGTGTCAATCTCTATATATTCATATACATTGTCTGTATATTCAAATGCAGATATACCATACATGTATATAGAAAAAGAACGACAAAGATTGGTATAGGGAGAAAGAAAACAGGTATGTCATAAACATTAGATATATATGATATACATGATGGTATTATAATGTACATTACGCATATATGTGTAATCATTATATATATATTTCTATACCAACTGTAAGCTGACATTTAATTTCTTCATTACCCATAAAAATGTCTTGGCCCCTTTTGAAGACTTCTCATTTCTTAATCTACAAGTCTAAATCATGGCTGAAAGCTTCTCATCCTACTATTTCTCCTTAGCAATGGGAAAAAGAGAAATACAGAAAGAGTTCACAAGGAATTTTGGTTTGATTTCAATGAGAATGGGTCAAAAAATAAAAGGAAGTCAGATCTTAAAATATAGTAAATTATCGTAGATCTTCAGGTATAGTAAAATGTTGTACTACAATCAGTTTTAAGGCAGTGATGATGATTCATATGAAACAAACATTAGCTGACCTGGCCTGGAAATTCTAGTGAAAAGTTGTACTAAATTATGGAGTTTTTAAAGTCTCTAAAGTCTTAATGTAAGATTGCTGAGTCACTACTGCAAGTTAACATACCGCTAAGACTTTGCTGTTATAAGAAATGAGTTTTACAAGCCAGATTTCATCAAGAGGTATGAAACCAATTGTGCCTACTCATTCAGCCATCTAGCTTTCCCTATTGACACTTCCAAGGGACAGTAATTTATATACAGAAAAGCTAAAACTGATGCATAAACTACACTTCTGTTTTCTACTGTTAATACTGGCAGCTGTGTCTAGTGAGTGGCTAGGGAGGAAGCTAAAACTCAGAATGCAACAACAAAAACGAAAATCATAAAACAATACATTAGTCTCATCAATGTCAAAGCTGATTAAATGCTTGTTACATTACTGGTATAAACATTTTGATAAAATATTTTTCCATAAGAAACAAGACTCTTTCTCTGTAAGTAATACTCTTCTCTTTAGAAGAAGTTAATAGGACACTATTAATAGAGGAGAGATTCTGACATATGGACAAGTGTAACAGTTTTTATTTTCTAATTACTGATATCACAAAGTGGTTGCTGTTAGAGCTAGCTGATCAGGCTACTGACTTTTTTTCACTCAAAAATGTCAAATGAAAAGTCTGTATTTGCATGTTCTGACTGAAAATTCTTACTTTTTGCAGGATGATTTAAAGTCCTTCTTTGGTTTGCTTCCATATAAAATGTTGTGATTTCTTGTCTTAGTTCCCTTTAACCCATAAATACCAAATCAAAACCAACACCCCACAATACCAACTAAATGGTGCTAACTCATTATGAAAATGGTAATTCCTTTTGAAATTTGGTTTAAAAAATAATCTCCATTTCTCTGGTGTGTACACAGAAATGTGGAGGAGATGGTATCTGGCAATAGGAAAATTTTCAGAAAGCGTTTTTGTGTTATTAGTTTAGGAACGGGTATAGATATTTCTATTTCTTTAACAAGCTACTCTAAGTTTCAGTATATAACAGGGCTTTAATGGGAGAGTTCAGTTTTCTCTTTGGCTGTGTCAACAGCTTATGAACATAAGGAAGTCAACTGCCGACCTTTACCTCCCCTTCCCCATGAAAAATAATGCAATAATTGTGTTTCTATACTTAAGGTGGTGGTGTTGCTTGAATAGTAAAACAAACCATGCAGATTCTTGGATTTAATGGCTGTGGAAGTGTGATGTAATATTAGTATGATTCATTTTGTTCCATAAAGTCATAGGTTTGATGAAGTAACTTTTCGTTATGGTATGCTCTCAAGCTATTCTTCCTTTCCAGACTTTCTCTTTCTTCTTACATTTTCATCTTTGTTCTTAAATATTCTTTTAAATGAAACAAAATGTTAAGGGAAGATTTATTTTACATTAATATAGCTACGTTTATTTGGTTATTGTAGTTAAAATAAAATCAGTATGCCCAGGCTAGAGTGGATTCTAGTAGTGGAAAATGGACACAAAAATTGAGTTCTGAGTAAGAGCAAGAAATAAAAGCAAGAAATACTGCAAAACTCAGGCTAAAATCATGAAATGGCGTTCCTGTTTTCTAGTGGGAAGAAGAGAGAGTGGAGAATAAGTTTCTTTTCATTTTCATAATACATTGAAAGTGTTTCTCTTGATTTGCATTAACAGTACTTGGGGATAAGCATCCTGGAGGTATTAATCTCCAGAATAAAATGCAAAGTGGTTCAAAATGGGTGAATTCCCACAGCTGTTTTAAGTAGAGCTGTCTGCAGACTCCTGGCATGACGTTCACTGGAGGACTGGGATACAACAATTATAAAAGTGAGTTTAACAAGCAGGTTTTTAGAGAAGAGAAACTCATTGGTATGACGAGGTTAGTGGAGTGAATGTGTGATCTCACTTTCCTGGTCCAGGCAGATTAGGGTTATCTTTGCAAAGGGGGCAGGATTTTTCCCAGGGCTGCACTTCTAACATGTAGGAGGATGAAGCGAAATTCAGCAAAGTCAGCTGGATTGTCCACGTGGAGACCGAATGCAACTGAACCAAAAGCTGAGGTCTGGGAATAAAGGGAAGGCAAAGAGCCAAGGATGAAGGCTGAAAGGCAACAACAGAGCCTGGAGAGAAGTGGGAGAAGCAGAACAGTGGCAGAGAGATTGAACATAAATGCTTCAAAGGGGAAGAGTGGTACGTGTTGAAAGGGATGAGGCAGGAAACAAGTGAAAAGGATGGATATTTGCCTTACGAAGTAACATCTCTTCCTCTAATGCAGGAGGTGGGATGACAGGAGCAGGGTCTTAATCTTTACTTTAAAATATTTTAAGGTGCCTTTATTTTAGAGTTAACATGGAGATGTAACTTCTGCCTGCTGAGAGGCACAGGAGGGTCCATCTGCCCCTCATGGTTAGCTCCCTGGGCAGGAGAGGACTTGCTTAGATGCCAGGCTGATGCTTGGTGACTGCCGACGGGCTGTCACAGACTCTGTTGTTTGGAGGGGGGTGTAGGGGTGGTCAGGTGTGTTTGCCGAAACCAGCGACCCGCATTCTTTTCTGAATATGCTCCCCATTGTCACGGCTGTGTCTGTGGAGCAGAGAGGGACGACGCTTTCCACCTGTGCTGTCCAGCGGTTGTCACTATTTGAAAAAGCTGTTGACACTGTGTTTTGTTTTCTTTGGGCAGATGGGCAGAAGAAGGTTCAAGAGGAATTTGACATAGACATGGACGCGCCAGAGACAGAGCGGGCGGCTGTGGCGATACAGTCCCAGTTCAGAAAATTCCAGAAGAAAAAAGCGGGGTCCCAGTCTTAGCAGCTACCTCACAGCTTAAAGCAAAGTAATCCTGAAATGGTTTATCAAGAAAATCAGGAGTAACACAAGGATGCATGTACAGAAATTACCAATATTTAAAACCCCATTGGCAGATAACAAACCATGAGCTTGTGTGTGACTTCATCCCAGGTGTTTCATCCCAGGTGTTTCATGCCCATTATCCTCTGTAACTCACCATTTTACTTGATGTTGTAATAAAAAGTTAGGGTGAAGTAATTAAAGTGTCTGCCTTCATCTATCTTTTCATATTAATCCAGCAACCACAGCACTACAAACGAACCGAGCCCAGATGCTTGTTATCCTCTTCACGTAAAGCTTGGAGATGTAACAGCACCGTATGTTACAAGGTTTTTGCTGAGGGATGAGAGCAGGCATCTCAGCCCTACTTACCTCATTTGGAGACTTCCAGCTGCCAGCCAAATGTGACGATAAAATTACTTTCTCATAATGAGCTGAAAGCAAAAAGTTGCAGACAGAAGCTGGCATGAGGGGAAGAGGTGTAGGAAGCAGTGAGCAGTTTATTTTTGTCTTGCAATTATGCCGATAAAGTGGCTTAAGTGGGGAAATTGTCCCTGTCCTTCCTCTTTGCATGATAATGTTTAGAATTACCCAGCTTGGACCAAATTGACTGTTACGGAAAAAAAAATAAAAAATCAGAAACAAAATACAAAGCCCAATTCCAGAAACCTTTGAAATGGTTTTGTTTTTAATTTGTAAAAATAGGAACAGACCATGTAAACTCTCTTTTTGATGCAGCTTGTCACTCTCTACATAATCAGTAACTATTTCTATGCCATCTCTCTCTTTTCATATTATTTTCAGTATTTGATGAGTAAATCGTAACAGGTTCCTGGTATCCATTTTGCACTGTTCTGTATTCAACTTTATATGAGCCCTTTACTTTATCACTGTATTAGCCCTGGTTTTGATTACCAAAAATCAGCCACAACAATGTCTGTCTTAAATTGGGAAGTATTTCTGTTTTCCTACTGTTGTAAAACAGTAACAGACCCGTTTCAGGCTGGATCTAAGTAAGGATCTTGCCTGGCTTCAGACCTGCTCAGGAATTGGCTGCCCATACACTCCGCAAGGAAGGTTTGGAAAAGGTTTAAACAAGTACCTTGTAGTAGGAAAAAGGACCTTTGGGGATTGAGCAAGTGGGACACACTCTACACAGAGCCGTATAAAAAATCCCATCCTCGGCTTCATCGGCAGATTTAGGGGTTCCGGTAGTCATCTTTGGGGAAACCAGAGATAGAAGCGTTTTCTGAAGGGCTGGTGTTTGCATTGATTTTCCAAGAAGGCAGTATGAGCTCCTGGCAGGAGCCTTCTTATCACAGGGCAGAGGACACATATATGGTCAGGACCCTCGTGTAAATGGAAAGCTACAACCAGGGGGTAGGAACAGAGGGAAAGGAAGGATCTCACACTGGTGGCAGCCACCTCCTGTGAGAGCCCACCGTTGCAGCAAAACCGAAAGGGTGCGGACCAGTGCCTGGAAGGATCGCAAAGGGAAGGCCCTCAGCCTTACACAGGTTACACTTACGGTGCTCGGCAACAATTTGGTGAGGTGCCCAAACCTGACGGTGGGTGACAGGAGCTCTGGGACAGTGCTGGGGGCCCTCAGAGATGCTGAGCAGAGGAAGCCTTATTGATCTTCCGGGCGATGTAGAAGGCATGTGCAGAGATGATATGTGAGGTACTTAATAAGCACAGCAAAACTGGGTGGGAATGGACAGGGGTTTTTAGATCTTGGTTTGAGGATAACCACCTAAATACTGCCCCGGCGCTCCCTTAGGCAGCTGTGTCTGGGTCAGGACCTGGCCCTATGCGTGACTCACCCACACATCACCTGCAAAGTCAGAGTTCTCCAAGCTGCAGCTCAGTGCTTTCACTCTAGGAGTGTATTTCAGCAGCACTGTTTCTCTGCATTTAGAATTTCACAAATAAACCTCAGATAACACTGCTGCTGTGCTCCAAGTATGGTTTGTGGAGACCACTGATCCCCCGCTTGTCTTTCATGGAGACTGCTCACCATATAATAATTGCCTTAGCATAATAATTTAAAAATTGTAATGGGTTTGGATTGTGTTGGTGCCATTTTGTTTAGATTAACATACATCTGTAATAAAGGACTGCATTTGTGTTCTGCATTATGTCATTTGAAATGCCATGAGCTCTGTAATGGCTACTTAATTGAATAAAAACTATGGGTAAGCACTAGACTTTTGTATTTGATCTGACATTCCTTGGACTTAAATTTCCTACACAACAGGAATAATCATATGGTTGGGATATAGAGAGAATGATTACATTACTGAAGCACAGCAACAAGGGCTGTTAGTAAATGAATTATGGCTCTTTCAGCAGCAGTGCTTTTCTTTAATGTGAAGTTCAGAGTGCATCTTACAAATATGGTCTTAATATACAGTGAAGCATAGTGAGGAAATAGTGAAATGGCATGAAATTTGGATTAATTGTGGCTGCTCCTGTCAGACAATTTCCTTTTTATCAAAATGTGTTTGCATCGCAGGTTCAGTTCATGTTCCCAGGGAAGGAGAGCTTTCTCACTCCCGAGTCTTGCTTTTCATTGATCCTTTGTTCATATCCAAGGTGGCATTTTTAATTTCCTTTCTTACCACTAACTCATACTTCTCAAAGAGCTGTCTGGATATTGCTAAGGTGAAGAAAGGAGTTTGATTTAACCAGGAACTTCACTAAGATGGGCAAAAGAGGACACTTAAACATTCCAGGTATTATGTGGTCTCTGAACTTCCAGACACTTGCTGAGCTCTGTCGTTAATTGACGCTACCTAGCTGGGAGTAACCAAGTCATGGAAAACAAAATTTAAATTGATGGATATCTGTGCTGATAAACAAACAGTTCTCATAGGTAACATGAAAGATTATTCAGAGCAGTAGATTTTGCAGAAAACAGGATTATCACTCCCACCACACACCCACACACCCTCCCCAGGCACATCCATATTGCTTCTGCTCCAAATTACTGTCAGGTTGTCCCAAAAGAGGATAACCTACAGTTGAATGATCAGAACAATTGCCTGAGCCTTAGAAATCCTTTGTTCACATTGTTGCCTGGACTGTAAAATAACCTGTAGAAGTAAACAGCAAAGGAGACTGTTTGAAGTAAAGATGTGCCATCAGAAAGCAGAGGATGTGGATTTTATCAAGTTAAACACAGAGAGGAAAGCCAAAGCCAACCTGTGACTTGCTGAAGGTACAGAGTTATAAATGAAACTCTTTTGAAACACTCCTTGGACTAGCAGCCTACTGGAGGATTGTGGGGATGGGGGGAAGCGGAGGTCTTGCAGCAAGTGGAAATCAGTCTGGCATTAACGCCCAAAGCAGAGGCTCCCACAACAGCGGTCTTTTTTGTAATACATCAGCCTGAGGAACTCATTGTCAAACTGAAAGGTCAGTAGAAGAGAGTACTGGAGTAATCTGACAAAAATATTTACAACATATCCCCAGGACTGGGTGAGGTTCACCGACGTCTTGTAGAGGAGCTCAGATACACAGCGGCCACCTTGTTCAAAGTATTGCTCGGGCTGGCCTCAATTCCAGGCGAATAGGCAGTGGCAAATTAATAACAAATTTTAGAAAGGGCCCTAGGAGTATTCAGGGATTTACAAAGACTGTCTTCCTGGGATAGCTTGAGAGAAGCTATGATATGATGTGATACAACAGTAATACGTCAGCACCAGCCTGACATCAGCTGTGATTCGCAAATGCTGGTGCCTGATGATGGAGTTAAAGAGGTGGGGAATGGTAACCCAGGTGCACCTGGGTTTTCAAGAAGTTTTGGTAGGACTCTCATGAATACCCCTTAGTGAGCTTCAGCGGTCTGGGAGCAAAGGGTCAGGTCCTTTCGCAGAAAAACCCAGTTAAGGGACGGGAGCTGGAAAGGTGGGGTGGCAGGTCTGGTTCTCACAGGAGTGGAGTGTCACCGGGAAAACTCCAATGGCATCTGTGTTGTGCAACATTCCTAAAAATCAGGTGAAAACAGGGATGATGGAAAGTGAGGTGATGAAGTGTTATACTGGTGGTTTCTACATGAAAAATCCCATTCTTTTCTCCTTAGTTTTATAGAAGGCTCCCTGAGGCCTATGAGGAGAGAAAGGTCATGCCAGGGCCATGAAGGCACCAGCTGCCCTGACTGCCCCTGCCCACACCTGGGGCTCTCCCACCCTGCCCAGGGCCCCAGGCCAGCCCCATGGGGCTCCCCGATCCTGGCCAGAGCCCAGGGCCCCCCGTCAGCCCCTCGGGTCTTCAGCCCCCGCCCTGGTGATGCTGCGGCAGTGGC